GTGGGGGAGGTTGTCGACTACAGTAGCTCCCCACTGCGCATTTTTGCTTTGGCTGTTTGTCCATGGCTGTTTTCGTTGTGTGAGTGTGAGTGTGAGTGTGTGTGCGGGGGAGAGGGAATGGGTTGTTTTGTTGCTCGGACGCTTTTGTTCTGCCGTACCGTACTAGTGCTGTTTGCGTAGCATATTATATGTGTTTGTTTTTAATATATTCGGATTGTTGTGGTGAGTGGTTCATCGTTGTTCTTGGAGTCCTGCCGACATCCCCTTGCCCGTTCGTTCTTTTTCTCTGTACACCTCCGTACACCTCGTCGCTCCGTACACCTCAACTATGCAGGTTCGCTCCATGCACATGGCCATCCAGATGGCGATGCTGAAGCTGCAGCTCAAGCGCAGCGGCCGGGCGGTCTCCCTGGACCGCCTGGTGCAGGCCTTCGCCTTCATGGACAGGGACGGCAACGGAGCCCTCAACGCGGAGGAGGTGGAGGACGCGCTGAACTCCCTGGGCATCTTCGTCACTAAGGAGGTCGGTATCGGTACTTGGGCGTGTTGGTGTCCGTGTGAGTGTGTGTGTATATGTGAGTGTGTGTGTGTATGTGAGTGTATGTGTGTATGTATGTATGTGTGTGTATGTGTGTATGTGTGTGTATGTGTGTATGTGTGAGTGTGTGTGTATATGTGTATATGTGTATATGTGTATATGTGTATATGTGTGTGAGGGGGGGGAGAAGAGTGTGGGGGGTTGGGTTGGGGGTTTTGCGATGGCGGGAAGGTAGGTGTGTAGGTGTGTAGGTGTGTAGGAGCAGGGGGGCAGGGGGACAGGACAGGCTGGCCGATGGAGGGCGTGGGAGGGACGACGGGACGGGCGTATGTGTTATACGGCTGGTGTTGATATAAAGAGTTAGTTGGTTAGTTATGTCGTTGGTTAGTTATGTGGGGCCCCCGGTGCGGGGCTCTCCCCCACCTCCCTCCGTGGGGGGGGGTTAAAGTGCCGTGGGTTGTGGCCGGTGTATGGGGTAGAGCGCGGTGTTGGTACTGTACTGTGCTGTACGAGGATGGTTGTGGCTGCTACTGCTGTGGTGGTGGTGGTGGTAGTGGTGGTGGCGCATTCCTTTATCCGCGTAATCATGTACATATATATATATATGTGTGTGTGTGTATGTGTGCGTGCAGGTGGTAGATGCGGTCATGAAGTCATTCGACAAGGACGGCAACGGCTGTGTGGACTACTTTGAGTTCGTGAAGTCGCTGTACCCCACCCGGGACTCGGTGTACCACCACTGACAGCGGAAAGGGGGGAGGGTGCGGCTGCTGACAAAGACACAGGAATGACCCGAATTACAGACAGACAGACAGACGGACAGTCGTGGACGGTGGCGGGGGCGGCGGCGGCAGTAGAACAGCCTGCTGGCGGACACAGACTGCTGCTCGCTTATTTCGACTCCTGGACTGCTGATGACTGATGACAAAGTTGTCTGTTACCTGTTATAACCTGCCGGCGACTTAGGAAATCAGCTTTCCTGTGATGTGATGTGATGTGATGTGATGTGATGTGATGTGATGTGATGTGATGTGATGTGATGTGATGTGATGTGATGTGATGTGATGTGATGTGATGTGATGTGATGTGATGTGATGTGATCCATGCCTTAGAGTGGAGGTGTGTTGACGTCATGATGGCTCTCGAGTCCGGAATCGAATCCATCCTCTTGCAAGCAGCCACTTTTTTTGCATTTTAGCGTCATGACTAACTAACTACCCCAGCACAACCTTTACAGCACCATCACACCACCATAACATTGTCATATTGTTGGAATCCGGAGGCTGCGGGTGGGAGGCGGATTATGGTCCTACGACGAGGAGGAGGCGTTCCGTTGCGAGGTGGCCCCATACGCCGGTGAGTTGACAGTTGATCGTTAAAATATAACCGTTGCTCATTACTGCTACTGATGCTGTTTTTGCTGGTACTTCTTTTTCTTCTTCTTGTCGCGTCATACGACTGTAGCACCGAACAAAACACGTGCGTACGGCAGACTCTTCTTCTGGAACTAGAACATATATATAGGTGAACAGAACCATGTGCTAAGATGTGTGTAAAGGCTTGTTCTGGTTTCTTCCTTTTCTTACTTGTTGAAAGCATCACACTAGCCTTGCCCTAAGTATTTTGCTACTGCCGCTAGCGCTACTGCTGCTGCTGCTGCTACTACTGCGGCTGGGTTGCCTTAGAGGACGGCGAAGACCTCACGCTTCATGTGCGAATGGGGTGCTTGTTATGGAAGGGGGGTGCTGCACAACCACCTACGTATTGTACTGTTTTTGTTAGGGATGGTGTCACCTGGTGGTGTGTGCTACTGCTGCAGCAGGATGTGCAAACCCAGCTGCTGCTGCTGCTGCTGCTGCGAGTTATTTTTGGCGGGATGGAAGTGAGGGCGGGGTTGGTTTATATTCTAGATCAACACACACACACACACACACACACAACCACACCACACACAACCACACACACACGCACAACCACACACACTCTTTCGCTTAGATTCTCGGGATCGGTCATCAAAACACAACCTAAGAGTGAGGTGGAGGTGGAGGTGGAGGTGGAGGTGGAGGTGGAGTTTGTTGCAGGAGCTGCGTGTATATACGTATACATACGTATAGGGGTATGTAGTAGCCCCGCGCGCGCGGCAGGTACCAGGCGAGTCAGCAGAGCAAGATACCGCCCATCTGTGAATATGTTTTCGTCCATAGATTATGCGCGCTGGTAGGGCTTCAAAGATATAGGATGCATCCGTATCTATGCCGTACCGGGGCCGCACGACCTCTATATGATATAAAATTACAGGCGCGTGACGTGTGGGTTTCTTGGGTTTCTTTTGTTGTGTTTTGTTTTTTGAAGAAGGTGTGTGTTGGTGCGTGTGTGGCGCTGAAAAAAGCATTTTTTGCTCTCTGGTGCACCTGCAGCTGCTCTGTATATGTGTATATGTGTATATGTGCGCGCTGTCGACGAATGCGAATTTCGACACGGTGGCGAGCCTGGCCCCCTTGCATAGGGTGGTGTCGACCCTGGACGGCGACAGCAGGCGGAGGTGAGGATGATGATGATGATTTGGCAAGGCTGTGTAAGGAAGATGGAGTGTGGGCGGCTGCTGCTGCTGCTGCTGCTGATGGTGATGATGATGATGACGATGATGATCGATAAGGTCAATATATACTGGAAATGATGGCCAACCTTATCGTTGAGACGCTTTCGAAATGCTTCATTTCATCCATGGATAGGGTTTTAGGGTTTAGATACAGCAGGTGGTTTGTTGAAGGGTGTGTATGTGTGTGTGTGTGTGTTGCATTGATACGACGGCAAAATACGGCAAAAGTTTCTATTCATTGTCCTGGATAGCCCGACAGGACGTGGGGCTGGCAACGAAGAGTGCGCATGGTGCGGATGGTGGGGTTGCCCCACGCTAATCAACTGGCGTATGTGTATATACGTGTGTATGTGTGTTTGTGAAGTACTGTACGAGTGTGTGTGTGTCTCTCTCAGCAAAAAGGAGATGTCGCGAAGGACACGATGTCTGTGTGCGTCTCTTGAGTTAAGGTGTAGTACCTCGGTACAAAGTACGGCATACATGACGTCTACAATTAGGCGCTTCGCCAGCATCTCGAGAGGCCTTTTCAGCGCGACCAGCTTTACTACATGCAGGTTTAGGCAGGAAACCTTTTCCTTCCGTTTGCGTGAATCCAAAATGCAGAAATAGAACATGGTGATTGAGGTTACTTACGACAAATCCGATCCAATTGAAAGCAGCTGCTCTGCAGAGCCGAGGGAAAGCGCAAACCTATTATTACAGCTGCCTATCCGGTTGCTAACTAAGTAATGCCGCACACACAACGACATCCACAAAGTTCTCCGATGAAGGAGTGGTGTGGCGCAAACAACAAAAGGGTGCAGAGCGTGAGTCAGGGAGAGTCTCACGCAGGCGATAGAAGTGGGAGTGGGAGAGGCGGTGCCTTTACAAGTCGGACGCCGCCGTTACAAGGCCGTGGGGGACCATGGGGGGGAGGTGCGGAGTCGGTCACTATTGCGTCGTTCGCTCCTCTCCCCCACTTCTCGCTCTCTCCCGTTACCGTTACGGGTGGCGTCTTTCAGCCTCCGGGACCTTATAGCCTTATAGGAATATATATCTCGGTGATTTTTCATCCCGCATTTAAGAGCCGACGGCTTGGGGGTTTATAGACCAAGGAGGACGAATCCCACAAGGTTATGAAAGTCCTCATGGAATTTCAAATACAGTTAAGGAAAAACGCAAAGGAAGGAATTATGCACGGAAACAGTACATGTAATTATTCCTTAGCGAATTCGCTATATCGTCACTATACATGTATTGACGCATCCGCTATCTCGTCATTGAAAGATTGACGTAAAAGCAAACGTGCTTAGGATGCGTGTTACGGTGTAACGGAAAGAATTGTACATGTGTACGACGTAATAGATCGTTGCGGCATTTTACTCAGGTTTTAACCTAGTCGCACTTGTGTCCCTTGAAAGGCATCCGTTGTGTTGCTGCTGTGTGGCCGCATACGGTACAACATGTAACATCTGGTCTTGCCTATCCTTGTCTTGCTCTGTGTCTTGCTGTGTCGCGTCCTCAGCTCTGTAATTCGTTTGCGTGTTTGTCCCAGTTGGGTCGGTCCTGAGGAATGTATAGAAGGGCATATGGCGGCCGCGGTTGCGTTGTTAGGAGGAACGTTGACGGCCGTTGGTCGCGGCGTGACCTTTCTGCCGGTCATTTCGGTTGGCTCCTGAGTCTGATTTCTTGTCCATCTCCTCCATTCTCAACAATAAATGCACCGGAGTATCAGTATATCGCGTTGAATTGCGTCCCTGCGGCGGGAGGACAGTGACCGATCGGTCGCGACAAGAGTGGTAGCACTACCGTGCTCCCCTGCTCCTATGCCCTACAAAATTAACAACATTCTACCTTTTTATTCGCTCGATGTGCGGCTGTGCACCTCAAATTTTATTTAAGGGAGAGGAAGGTGACAAGTTGGCATTTGCTGCGATCCGCGGCCAGGAGACTGCAGCGAGCTCCTTTAGCTCACCTACGGAGGTGGTATCCTGCAGAGAAACCACGGTGGCTTTCACACTTCACGGAATATTTTGATTACAGAATCAATTTCGCATATTGTTTGCATGGAACATGCCCGCGCGGTCGTCCGCAGTACATTTGGACAGTACAGGCCATGGTGCTCGTCGTACTGCATTTCTGTGTGTTGAATCTATTCCTCATTAAAAAGTGACAATAAATTATTTTGTGCAAAGTCGAGAGCAGACATCAATTCCCTTACGAGGAAATGCTGCGATAATCCTAATCGATAAGCGTAAGCTGAACTCTGTATATTTTGGGCGCGCTCACACAGGCAATGCGAGCCTCATAAGTTTACGGTTGTGACAGAAATAATTCAGTTTCTAGACACTACTTAAGGACAGTCCGGTGACTTTGCAAAATATATTTATCCTACGAGGGTGTACGAGGCAGTGCGGGCTTTTCACACCGTGAAGAGGCCAAAGTGTGTACTTTATCTGAATTGGATTTTCTTCCGAGTTGTGCGATCTTTGAAAACTTTTGCGGCTACATAGTATCATCTCGACAGCGGTGTTGCAGTACCGGTACCTAGCCGAGTTCACAAGCTTTATACTTGTATGCAGGTTGCCTTGATAAATCGGTGGTCTTCGCAGTGCAAGCTTCAACAACATGCACATGGGTACGCACAGTTGTTTGTTTTGAGAATCCGTATGTGTCTTTCCTTTGGCTTATCACTTTCGTACCATAACTTTTTAAATTACTCATATAAGCTTTCATGGTAAATGCAAATGAAACATGCTAATGCAGATGGCCAATCTGTTTGGGTTTAGCTCTGTCATGCCTTAACGATTTGCCTGCCAGGGCACACTTGCTGCTATAAGTGACGGCCCAGCAAGATTTCATATCGGCATTAGCGGTGCTGCTTTCCTGAGAGCTGCAGGCCCGTGAGGGACGGGATGCTGTACTGCTAAAGCTTTTTAAACAGGGCTTTTGCCTCCCACGGACCCTTTTAATGCGATGGAAGCTATCAGGAATTGGGACACGCTGGCTTAGCCCCGTTTGCGTTGGAGTGTGGAGCGGGCAGTACAACTACGGCAGGTTTCGTTCAGTGCAGGCTAAAGGCACTGCACTGAAAACTAGAAATATCTCCTTTGAGGATATAACACAGGCAAGCAGATGAGGCTTACTTGTGGCTTCCTGAGGACTGGAAGGGACGTGGCCGTCAACCACATAGCGTGCTTGCTGCAGAATCGCCTTGCGGGTTTCTTCGCGGTAAGGAAGAATACCGATATGGCATAGCTCGCTCTAATGTCGCGTCTTATTCTGTAGCGTATCTAGAGCTGTTCTGTTTTGGCTTATCCTTGCAATTTCAAGAGCATGTTGCTTGCAGGCAAAATCTTAGCCCTATGTTGCTTGCACAATTCGTGATATTCTTATGCCGCAATGCTTTGTCAGCATTACGCACGGTACCTGGAAGCTGAGCAGCTAGAAGCCGTAGCGACGGCGAACTGACAATTGCGTTTCTATTTGCGGCACGTTCAGAGTTCCGCAATCCATGAGCACAACTCCATTTTGATTCATGTTGTTTTGACTATCCTTTTGATGACTGCAGATATATGCGGCGTGGCTGCTGGCTACATGCGCCACTTTTAGTTCCTGGACCGCTTTGCGAACTGTTCGCATCCGCATCCGCAGCTACTTGCGGCCCAGGAGGCGCCATGATGGCGCTCCACCATTAGAACGATGGAATCATCGGCCGCGTCTCCTTCCTCCTTTGCTGCCGACCCGCCACTCTTCAATGCCGACGACGGCTACCGCGCCAGCGCGTGGCGTACCCTTTACACTGGCATACCAACACCGCTCTGAGGCAATCCAATTGGACAATTTAAATTTAAATCCTCCGTCGCGAATTGGACTTCCGCATGTCGAAGGACTTTTAAGCGGCGATGCGTCTCTCTCCGGCCCCTCTGGCCGCCCTCCCTGGCCATATCTTCAGCGCGCCGTCACCGCCACCGCTGCTGCCATTGCAGCCAGCGCACGGCTGCTGCGCCTTAACCACCCGCTCCACATCCTCGACGGCCGTTGCGCTGCCGTTCAACCCCGCGCCTCCGCAAGGTCCTTACCCGCGGGACTGTCACCATTCGCGTCATGCACGCGGAGCACGGCACGCTGCCGTGGAAACGACTCGGCGCGACGGGACTTGCCGCTCTCAGCAGCCCCTCTGGAAGGCCACAGGAGTTCCGCCGCGACGGCGGCGGCGGCGGCGGCAGCAGCGGTGACACAGATGTCGACGCCGACGGCGGCGGCGCCCTCTTGGCGCTACTACACTGGCTCTACTGCGACGTGCAGCGCGCGGTATAAAATACACGGTTACGAGCCCTGTGACCTGCGGCCGGACTGGCAAGCCCTCGTAGGACGTCTGGCCCGTACCTGCGGCCAGGGCGCGTACATGGCGGGGTCGTATGTACGACAGGGATGCGTTGAGCTGACGTTGGATTTCCTCGTCGCGGCCGGGGGGCCCAGGGCGCCTGCGGGCATCGCCAACGGCAGCAGCCTTGATAACAACGACCTGCACTCCGTGAAGCCGCCGCCGTGCCCGTACGGCAGAGGGTCTGACGTCAGAGGTGTGACCGACTCGGGGTCGAGCTTGGCACCCGACGCAGCGGAGATCCTAAAAGCGCTAGGGCTTGATGGCTGTAGCTCAGGTACTACTGTTACTACTAGTACTGCTACTGCTACTCCTGATGGTTTTGGTGACACATTGCCGGCGGCGGCGGCGGTGCCGGCGGCGCTGCCGTCACCGCAGGTGCAACTGCTTGGAATGGAGCCCGCAGCGTCAGACGCGCCGCGGGTGGTGCAGCTATGGCCGCGGGTGCTGGTGCTGCCGGCGGCGGCGGCGGCACCGCCGGGAGGGGGCGGACGGGCAGGGTTGCCTTCGCGGCGATGTGCGGACGAGCAGCAGTTGGTGAGGGCGGAGGCCCCGGAGGCCTCGCCCTCCGCCGCGCATGCGGATGCCGACGGGGCCACCATCCGGCAGGAGCAGGCGGCCTCGAGGGAGGTGCAGCTGGTGTGGGGCTCTGAGGAGGGGGAAGAAGGGGAAGACGGATCGGACCAGGCAGCGACCGCAGGCAGGGCAACGGCAGCTGCAGCCGCGGCCACAGCTGCGCCGCTAGGCGGCGGTACGGTGCTGCTGCGGGCCATTGTGTGTCGGCCGCCGCCGCCGCCGTGCACGTCGGGTCGATGCAAGGGCGGCGGCCGAATGAGGCCGCTTGAAGCCCCAGCCGTCTTTGCTCGTGGACAGGGGGAGATACTCTCGACGCGTGTGCTGCGGTTCCAGCTTCGTGCTACTGCGGCTGTCAGCGACTCGTCGTCGCCTTTCATCGCAACCTGCAGGAACGCCGCTGGGTCCCAATCTGCCCCAATGACCCGTGGGTCATTCGACCGAGCGACCCATGGGTCTTTCGATCGACGGTCCGCATGTGCATCATGCGGCTTGTGCTGTACAGACACTCGGGGAGGCCAACCTGGCAGCAGCGGTGGCGGCGAACACTATGAGCTGGAGATGCTGCTTGCCCAGCCACGGCGCGCGGGTATCTTACTGGTACGTGCATTCTTAGGCAGGGGCAGCGGCTGAGGAGGAAGAAACGAGAGAGATTGCAAACCATTGCAAACCAATGTATATGTGCCTAACTGTCTTGTGCGTCTTGTGCATATGTCTGTGCGTCTGTCTGCCTGTCTGTCTGTCTGTCTGTGTGTGTTTGTCTGTGTGCCATGAGATTGCGGATCCAGGACATTGAGGGTCTGGGCGCGCGGGATATTGCTGTACGTGGTTGCTAGCGGCTATCGCGCTAAGGGGTGTTTTGTACGTGCGTATCTATGTTTGTGTGTCCCCCCTCCCGACAACCCCCCATCAGGTGGAGGTATCCTGGTCGAACCAGCCCGGTCACGTGATGACACTAATAGCGCTGCCCGCCACGGAAGCGGCGGTGGCGGCGGAGCTACAGGACCACGCCATGGCGGCGGCAGCGCCGCCGTCGCAACCATTGAGAGCGACGACGCCGGAGGCGGTGGCGGCAGCGGCGGCTCTGGATGTCGCGCTTGCGCGGCGGCAGCAACGCCTACTGAACAGCTTCCTTCTGGACGCCGGGGTTTGGGCGGCGCAGCAGGCACTGGCGGCAGCGGCGGCGGCGGCTGATGACGGCTGCGCCGCCGCTGATAGTACTGCGATGGAGCAGCTGCACCCCCGCCAGCGGGCGATGCTGGGTACCAACCTGATGTGCTTCGCGGCCCGTGCGGACCTTAAGGCAACGGAGGCGTGGCTGCTACGCGGCTTGTCGCAGCTGGAAACGGCGCTAGGTCGACGGGAGGCGCATGAGGGCGCGGGTCGGAAGGCTGGAGGTACTCATGCGGTCGTGGCGGAGGCGGAGGTGGCGGCGGCGGCGGGGGCGCCTCCGCGGGGCTGCAGCAGGGGGTCAGCGACGGGGTTGCCGTCATCATCGTCGCCGTCGTTGTTTCCGGCCCCGACGGCATCTGGCAGTTGGCCGCCCTGCGCCGTCGACAGAGCCGACGCCGTCGTTAGGGATGTAGTACAGCTGGCGACACCTGGGATTGCGGTGGAGAGCAAGCTGTGCAGGCGCCGAGCACCACCCGGGCTGCCGTGTGCTGGCGGCGGCGGCGGCGGTGGTGGTGGTGACGGCTTCGTTTCGCCTGCGGCAGCGCGGCGGCTGCCGTCTTCTTCTTCTTCTTCTTCTCCTGCTGCTGCTACTGCTACAGCTGCACCAGCGGCGGCGGCGACGGCAGGTTCCATGGGGAGCAACAGCAGCAGCAACAGCAGCAGCAACAGCTCGTGTAGTCGTGGTCCCTGTGCCGGCGGGAGGGGTTGTTGTTGGTGGTGGTGGAGTGCGCTGCTGCTGGTGTTGGGCTGGCGCACTTTGGAACCGCGGGAGGAGGCGGGTTATCGAGCTTACGTGGCGCCGTGGCTCGTCAACCAGGAACATATAATGTGCGGGGGGGGATCAGGCGTGAAGGGGAGGAGCGCGGCATGTAGCTGACGTGGAATATGTATATATGTATATGCGTATGTACGCATAGATCTGAGCCGCATTTGAAATGTATTTCTTGTTAATCTTTCTTCCCCGACCCTCCTCTCCACCGTCGCCTCGACACCTGGTGGGCGTTTGTGATCTCCACGCGCGCCTCTGTGTGTGTACCACCGCCTTCCCACCTCCGGCCGACAGCCAAGCATTCGAAATCCTCGCCCTCCTGACGCTCCTCGCCCGAGCGCGTGTCGACCTGCTCAGCGCCGCCAACATCACGACGGTCATGGGCGGCCTCCCTGGAGTCGTATCCCTGTTGTCGTATCTGCTGCTGCCGCGTCACGCCTGGGGCCGCGTCGTTCGCTGCATTAAGGTCCCTCGCTACGGCGCCTACGTGGCGGTGAAGGCTGTTTCGATGTTCCTCGACAGGCCACTGCCTCCGGGTGTGAGCTCCTACCACCACCTGGGCTTGGGTAGGGTGCTCCATGAAGGACTGCTTCTGTCACTGGCGTGCTTGGTGAGTTGGAAGTGGATGGGCGAGTGGATGGAATACGGCACACGGGAATGCAGTGTTGCAGTACAGCATTCAGTTTTAATCAGATTCAGTCGCGTACGTACATACATACATACATACATAGGGTTGGCCGGAAGTTTAGATTTAGAAAATAATTTAGATGCCATCTAATTAGATTTCTATATAGATTTTAGATGAGGCCATCTAAACCGTTTAGGTGGGCATCTAAACGTATCTAGTCCATCTAATGCCTATCTAAAGGCCGGTGACCGGATCCAGACCGTTTAAACGTGAGTCATGGCACGCGAAACAGCTATGTTGAAGGTAACTTTAGTGTCATATCCTTGCTCCGCTCTATTACATACACAAATAGACGTAAAAATGCACAATGGCAGAACCAGGACCCCAAAAGCCGATCACATACAAATACAACCACCAGACTTTCGACGCGCCACAGTACGCAGCTAAGCTCTGCGAAGCCAAGCGCAGCATCAAAGCCGCAGCGTACTGGTCCATCTTCGACGTGTTGCTCGTAAAAGGCGTTGTGAACCTCGTCTGCACCGTTTGCAACAAGTCCTATAGCGCGAAGAACCCGTCAGCTGTCTGCCCGGATCACTATGCGAAGCACCAGAAGGACGTCGCCAGCGCGGTCGGAAGCGAGCAGTCCGGGGCGCCCACAACCAACAGCACGAAGTGCTCGCGCGCGGAGGAGGGGCCAGTTCGGACCTTCTTCCTCGCTGCAGTGCAAATCGCCACCTTCCTGAAGCACCTGGCTCTTTTCTTCTTCAAGTGCAACATCGCCCTCCAACTGAGGCCGGCAGAACAGAGCCCGACAGCTTTGCATCCCAATGCGGGCGTGTCCCGCATGTTGGCATGTGTACTTTGGTGGTTCCGTTTGCGGTTGGGCCGACGGTTGGGCCGCGGGGCGCCTAATTACACCCCGTGGCGCCATCCGACACGCGTCTGTAGAGCGCCCATAGGGGTTCGCCGTGTTCCCAGTGTCGAGCGGCCCAAAACATTATTGGAAAATCCAGGAAAAGATAAAGCCGCATCGTATGCAAAATTTCAGGTCAAAATTCCACCGTTTAGGCAGTTTTCCGTTTGGCCATCTAAAGATTTACCTAATTAGATTAGGTATCTAATCAGATTTCTAATTAGATACTTTTTCCATCTAAAGATTTTGCCAACCCTATACATACATAAACACACGCCAGCAGTGCACGCGGGTATGCCACCACGCACACCACACGCACACCACACGCACACTCATCATTCGGTTCTCCTCGAAAACGGCATCTCTTAGTTGACTCAGTTGTCGCTCAAATGTACGGCACCTATAAAACCCGCGATGATGCACTTTGGACGAATTGAGTAGTTCAGGAGTACATCATCCTCCTCGCCTCCTGGATCCATGGCCTCCGTGTGAGTTCTTTCCTCTGTGAATGCCTTTTTGACATGTGCCCGTTGACTGTTGTCGTACCTTTACGTCGTACCTATTCCGTCATGTCGTACCAGCTGCCGCTACGCGCCGTCGCCGTCGTGACGGTTGCCAAAGTGGCGCCCTGCGTGGCTATGATGCTCACCAGGAGCCGAGTGCCGCCAAATCGGCTTCAAGCCGGCCTTCGCTGCGCCGCCGTCGCCGCTGTCGCGCTGTCCACAACCATATTATGTCACACCTACCTACGCGCCTGCTTCTTGTGGTGGCGGCGGCAGCAGCAGCAGCAGCAGCGGTGGCAGCAATTGAGCTCCGGCGCAGCCGCCGCCGTCGGCACGCCATCAGGCAAACCAGGTGCGCCGGCGGCGGCGACGACGGCGGTGGAAGAGTAAACCCGGTGCGCCAGCTGGCACACAAACAGCTTGTACGGCGCAGCGGTGGCGTCTTGCATTGCAGTACAGTGACGGGGGGCGGACGGTGGCGCCAGTGCAGTGCTGAGATCGGGTGCTGCTTCTCGGTTCTGTTTTGCTGCGAGTAATAGGTGCCGGAACCCTAGGGTCGACCCCTTCGATATACATACCAGATGGTGTTGTTGTCCTAACTTTTCACTTGACCTAATATTTCACTTGTGAGGAGGAAAATTCTGAGCATAGAGGTTGGTGGGGAAGTGTTCGTGTTCGCGAGGACGCGTCTGCCTCTGCCTGCCAGGACAGCACTGCAGGGTGCTCTCGCTAAAATGTGCATGCATGCATGCATGTTCCCTTGCTTGCTTGCATGCAGTCGACATGCACGCTTATGTTCCCTAGGGAATGCGCTTTAGTCATGAACATAAGAATGTAGAACTAAGCTCCTCGGAGTGAGGGCCCTCTTGATTAGCTCCGTAGAAATCAGCCAAGAAGCGGTTCTTAGGTAAGAGGCGCCACAGAGATAAACTCAGCTCGCAACCCCGGAATCTTAAATGTGCATATGCGTACGTGTGTGCATGTGTTCATGTGTGTATATGTGTGTTCATGTGTGTCCATGTGTGTATATGTGTGTTCATGTGTTTATATGTATGTATGTGTATATGTGTGTCTGTTACATATCAATCCCGGCCTGACGCTGGCCAGGGGCACCTAACCGTATACCCCAACGGTAACGACCGCCGAAGCACTCTATCATTGGAGGGGCGTTATATCGGTTAGAGTCCTAAACGTTCTTCCTTATCAACGCAACGCGCTGTCACCTGTTCAGATCCCTTAGCCAGCGAGAGACAACAGCTCAGATGCCGAGCAACGTCCGTTCCACCGAAAGCGCATGCTCTACAGCTGCGCGATCCACTCAAACTGGTGTCCATCCACCGCGCCACTCTATCCTTGCGAATCCTGCCGCCGCCCGAGTGCGTTATCCAACCACCATCTGGTATACAGCCTCTGGTCCAGGGCGTATGCAGAATTACTCCTCCGCCACTGCTGGCAGTGTAAAGATCTCCATGATGAGCTCCGGCGCCGGAGGAACCCACTGTCCCATCTCAGATTTCATCACCCCAATCTACTCCACCCGGAGGACCAGCGGTGGGATCTGAACCCACATCTTCTTACGAATCTAAATACCGTCTCTGGGATTCGAACTCTAGACTAGGCCTAGCATCTACGCCGGTGCTTCGTGCGTACGTGTGTGTCTGTTGTGTGTTTTTGTGTGTGTGCGTGTGTGTGTGTGTGTTTTAATGAACTGAATCCTGGGCGGGAACACCCGTGTCTTAACTTCCCTGTGGAGGGAGGAGGGGCTCCCATGCCTTGCCTGGCCCCGTGCCGGGTGTCGTACCGTACTTCGGGGGGTGGGCAGTGGCTCAGCGGTAATGCATGAAGCGTATATGTCTGTTTGTCTGTCTGTCGGTGAGCTTTTTAAGATGCGCGGAGCAAGTTTCCGTATGTGCATGTTTCAGAGCTAATGTATGTGTGATATATAAATGTTGTACAGATGCGCTTAGTAGTACGACAGACATATGTCCCGGTATGTGTTTTTAGAAGCCATAGCGGGGTGTTTGTTTACGTCTGCATCCGCTCGCCTGTTTTGTTCGCCTGCCAGTTTGACTGTGTGAGTGTGAGCAGCCATGCATGTGACGCTACATCCGCTTCGACGCTCGTCAATCCGGGTGGCGTTCAGCTGATCATCTTGCATGGCGGGAGATTTTTTTCTCTGTAATGCAAAACCTGAAAGGCGACGCTCTAAATGTGTTTAGGATTGGGTGATTGGCCTTAGGGTTGGGGAAATTGTGACGGCCGCAATGCGTCCTCAAAGGGAACAATCAGTAGGGTGCGTAAGGTCTGTGACTGCGCCGTACCCTGTCGTACGGTATGGGCCGCAGCGAGGCGGGGCCACATTTGGGATGTCGAATCATGTCGAAAAATGCTGTCTAGCTCTTGGCAAAGGAGATGGCAGAAGTTGTGGCGAAGATGGCGAGTGCTATGTTTGTTGTTGTTTCTTTACTTGTGTAGTTGCGGCTGCATTTGCGTTTCCCGCATGTTGTTGATTACGGTGCGAAATGAGCGCAGCGCAACGCACCGAAATCCCCACCCGAGGGTGCCGTACCCGCATGATGTGCGCACGTATGTGTACGGACATGCACGTCACGAGTGTTCACACAAACGAGGACGGGTCCGGCCGGGAGATGGAGAACCCTATTCTCCTATCAAGCCTTTGGCTTCGACTCGAATATCGAGCTCTTAATTACTCTGAATTGTTCTGCTTTTTAAGCAGCGCCTCACAAAAACGTGATGCAAGGAGAAAAGAAACAAACACCAACATGAAGGAAAGCTCGCAGCGATGCAGGAAGAAAACAGCAAAGAAAGGACACTTGACGTGAAGTGAGAGACTCCGCTAGCTTGGCTGCTAAGAGGGCTGGCCACTAGGCCGTAAAGGGCAGCTCTTTTGGGGCAACTCCCACCGCATTGCCCCCCGAGTGGACCCCTGCAACATCGCGCGATTTCTTATATAGTCACCGTGACCTAGCGGCATTCAACCTGGGCACATGCAGCTTCGGTCGGCACGTCAGGCCGACGATAGCAGTGCGCTGTTATCAAGACGCGCAACGATTGCTGCATGTTGCTGGCGCGTCAGGTGTGTTTCGCAGCGCCCTCGTGCGTAGCATGCCTGAATAGGAACGTGGTTTGGGGACGTGTGGGGGAAACTTTTGAACAGGTATGATGATGTGGATCCACTGCTGCAACAGCATGAATCATATCACCTATTCATATTAGGAAGCGGGGAAATTGCTGCTACTATACTAGTAGTACTGACAAGGGTAACACGGAAACGCCACACACCATAGCGCGGCAACCTTCAAGGTTAAAAGCTTTATTTGTGGCGTTATTGCCTCAACTAACAAACAATTGCGACATTCTATGCGATATTGCCTAATTACATTATTACAGCTGGCGCTAAAGATTTTATAAATCCATGTTACTGCGGTATACTACATATACTCTTTTCAAGGTGATATGGTTTAGAGGGGGCGTCATACAGGATTTATGTATAGAAATCTGGGCGCCACAACACCCCAGCCAGCATACGAATATATAGTAAAGAACTCGCGACAAGCGCCCACACAACTACTACTAGTACTACTACCACCACTACTACTACTACTACTTAGCCTACATACGTGCAAGCAAGCTAAGAGGCGGCGGGATTTGCCCGATTGCCCCCACGAAAAACACCCGAGCTGGGAGGAAATGTGAGCAGGCCCCTAAAACGATTCCGCTGTGTGCTGACACACAAAAGGAGGCATCCCCACTTCGCGCCGGGTCTCACGGGTCTCACAAATACCACACCAAGGCCCTCCAGGACCCTCTTTTATCTTGGCTCCAACCTGCAACATTTTTTTCACGGAAAAAGTGAAAAAACATTGGGGATGTGTGCTCGGTCCTGCTCAGGTAGCAGAGGGCCCCAATCCATAGGGGGCGCTACACCCGATGCCACCACCACCACCACAATCACCACTACCACTACCACCACTATGAATGTCCATACAATCCAGGGCTGCGACCAGCCGGATGACGAGCATACACGGAATATCTACTCATGCCCGACTATATATACCTCAACATGAATCCCGAGATGTTCGGACATATGGCTGAGCATCAGGCGAGGGCAGCGGCCATTACATCAGCAGAGCTGGCCAGCAAACAACAAAAGTCCCTGCCAACTGCTCCATCAATCCGCCTCTTGCGCCACCGCCCGGCCGCGACCCCACCCCGCCTGTTTCTCTCTATGCCGCACCGAAAGTTCCATCCCATCCCATACTCCAGCACACCTATACGCACATAAAACATACATTTTCACTCTTAAGCAGTCCCCCTGCAAGGCTGCTCCGAAACCAACGACATGCCGCACTGCTGACATTGATTTGAACACCACATGCATGGTACAGTACTGCACATGCATACATACGTACGTACGTACATGCATACGTACCCCAGCCGCACGAAGCCAGGCACAGTAGAGTCCCCACCCTCCTCCCTCCTCAACCAACAACCCCAATCACAGCTTCTCTTCTAATACTAAATATACTGACATACATACACACCGCATGACTGTCCAAACGACCTACTACTATTTGATTGACAAAACCCATTTATGGGCCGGACAAAATGTACCAAGCAACAAAACTGAAATGACTTTTCAAGGGACCCCTTGGACACCCTTACTACTTTTTACATTGCGTGCACAGCACAATACGTATGGATACATTGCCAGCCCCTAAAACGACGCAAAAGGTTGTATACATTTTTAGGAAGGACGTATATGCTACACCAGACAGATTGCTTTTGTCTGATTACGAATCCTGTCCGACATATCATGAGCCAGCGTAACACATGTCCCAACCCTCCGCCTTTCTAAACCGGCGCCAGCAAAGGGGCAAAAGCCCTGCCAGGAGACCAACCATGCCAGCGCGCTTGGGGGAGGGGGCCAAAATAATAATACCCTCGCATCCACGAAAACTACCACAACCACAACCACCAGCTTGCTGCACTGCCGTCCCGACGGGCCTGCTAGTCGTCATGCACAACCCATGGCACAGGCTCTCCGCGAAACGCGCTTGGTCCGGTAGAGTTCCTTCCCCCTCATCATCGAAGTCTTCTCCTTCCCTAGGTTCCCCCGCCGATCGACAATATCGTCGTCGCAACACACTACTACAACAACTCTGTACCAGGACCTCCAGCGTGCACGAGCAAGCAGCACGAGCGTGCCTACAACAAAGAATATTTTATTTTGCAGTCAACAAGGTTTATCGCAGCATTAGATAGGTATGCTGGGCGATATGCACACAGGTATGCGGGTTTTTAAGCTATCCCCTTTTTCCTGTCAGACGACAGAGCAATCTCGTGTGTGTCTGTCTGTCTGTGTGTGTGTGTGTGTGTGTCACATCGTGTTTCGGCGGTGCACCATGAATGCACAACGCAACCATACATACACGTGCAACACGACAACAGTAAAAAAAAGACGCGCAAAGGCGGAGAAGACACAGATACAGAGGAACACAAACAAATTAGCCGACGCGCCCAGGCGTCCGAAATTGCATACGATATGTTCTCTTCTGTAAACCAAACCAATCTAACCGACTAAATCCGGATGTTGAACCGCCCTCCGAAGGTCTGGATCCAGACCACACACGCACCAGAAGAGGCTCCCCCCCCCTCCTCGCCACCTCCTCAAGCGCAGCCCCACCCACATTCAATACGCTGCTAATCAAACGCAGCAGCACCTGGGGTGGCGCCTGTGAGCCCGCGTGGGTGCGGAGGACGGCAGACCAGCTGATGGCTTGTTGCTGTAGTCTTGGGAGGTAAGTCAGGCACGTTGCGCTAAGAAGTACCTACATACATACATACATACATACGGCTCCCCCATGCTGAAACATACGGACGGGGGAGGATGACGGTTTGATGGGCCCCCCACGTGTGTACCCACAACATCAACACCAATCCACCGCCCTCGGGGCCCCCCCTCAGGCTGTCCCTTACGGACAACCTCCGTATGCGCGTGTGTGTGCGCGGGGAACTTGTAGCTTGTAGCTGTGATTTTAGGGACGCTACACCCCTTAACACGTCCCCCACTGTTCACACACAAAAAAGCAACACCAGAAATCCAAATGCAGACACAGATGCTGCCCTTAAACGTTTCCGGAGCAGCGGAGCATGTGTGCGCTACACATCCAACAAAAGGTATTCGGATAAAACACAAAAAAATACCACAGGGCCCCCCCTTAAAAAAACGAAATCCTAATTCCAGTTCCAATTCCAACGAACACAGTTGCCAGCCGGGGCCCGAGCCGAAGAAGCCTCTGTGCAAGCACACATCAACATCCAGGGCTCATTATTGCTGTACTGCTCTTGGAGGTCTGCTCTCATCATCAGCAGCCGATTGCTGGAATGGTGCCGAAGTAACGGGAATGGTGCCGACAGTTCCTTCAGTGGTGCAGAAGAATAATAATTAAAAACGAAAGGTCCCTTGTGCCCTTGTGTGTTGCGGGGGAGAGTAGGTGCTGCCGTGACCCCAGCTTTTTTGCTGCAATCCCGCACCAGCACGACTCCCCCCGTCGCTCCACCCCCCAACCCCCCGCCAACGCGCTACCCTCACTTCTTGACATCCCCCTCTCCGTGTCCGTCGCAACCTTTTAAACTTATTTTTCCTTTCCACCTTCCTCTTTTTTGACGGCTCTCCGAGGCGGCTCTGCTTTGTTTCTCCCCACGGCAGCCATGTCGGCATGTTGGTGTCCCGACGCATCATCATCATCGACTGCCCGACATGGCCCGACATGACCCGACATGGCCCGACATGACACGCCGTCGCAACGTCAAATCAGATTCTGTGGACCTGAAATATGCGGTGCGACCCCCCTCCCTTCCCGGCCGCGGGTGACGGTCATATGCTTCCGCTGTGCCAAAGCCCTGCCTGCGAAGAGCCCCCTCTCTGCCAAAGCCCTCCCGTGCCGCCCGTGCAGCAAAAGCCATCGACCCGTATCCAGCATCAACACTCCGGTGGTGTCACCCCGGTATACCGTACTGCGCTATGCGCCCATTCACGACGCCGCCGTGTGTGGTTGCCACGATCTGATGCGGTGCTCAGACGCAGTGCTGCTCTCCACTCACGTGTGGCCCTTCCTTCCTCTCCCTTTCCACTCCAGGCCGACATAGGACCGACCAATGTCTTCGAGCACGACCTCATACCACGTCATTGTCGGCCACACGACGACACACGGGCGAGGCGCCGGGGGAGGCTTCTCAATCCGGAAAACCGCATTCCGATGTGTGATGCAGCAGCACACGCTGAGGCACCGGCAGCTACCGGCGCTGCGGTTTCTGCTGCCGCGCTGCTGTTTCAGACGACCGTGGTGATGATAATGACGACGGTGGTGGTGATGACGGTGGTGTCGGAGCTACTCCTCTTGGCCGCCTTGCTTCTGATGATCCTCACCCATAGGAAGTGGAAACGAACAATATGGCGGTGCAAAAAAAGGAGTTTGCTCTTGCCTGGGCCCGTGGACACAGAGACCGTCGCCTAGGCCATTGCCGGCGGTATTGCCACCACCACAGCCGCTAGCGGCGTAAAGCCGCAACCCCACGTCACCGGTGACCATCCGCCGCTGCCGTCCCCGCCGCCACTCCTCCAGATCCGAGGCGGCGGCGGCGGCGGCCGCTGCGGGTGTGACGCCAGCGGAGCATGGACTTCCCACCGCCAGGAAGGCATCTGTCATGGAGCTTCCAGACACGGGCCAGCTGCTGGTGAAGCTGCTGCTATTGCAGCCGTTACAGTCGTCATCGCCTGTCTCGTCAGAGCTCAGTGTCTCGAGCGTAGCCCGTGGCGCGATGCCCTCCTCGCTTGCCACCGACAAGGCGTCGTTAGGGGTTTGCAGGCAGGTCGCGTCGGTGTCCGTGCCCTCGCTGCCGGCGTCGCTGCGTGTACTGGCGACGGAAATCGGATAGGACAGCGGCAACGGTTCCGCCTCCGCTGGCGGGGCCGGCGTCAACAGCGATTCTGATGCCTGCCAGAGCGTTTGCGCGTGCCGGGGGTCCGTCACCTTGCCCGCCGCCGACGCGGCGGCCGCTGCAGCGGCGGTCAACTGCTCCTCAGTGGCGTCTTTGAGCGGCACGACCGGGAGTACGTCGCAATTACAGATCTCAATCATGTTGTCATCTGGGTCGTGGAAAAAGAGCTGACCCACTTGAACCCCGTCCTCCACGAATACGTTCTTGACAAAGGCGATGCTCCGGCACGTCAGACAGGCCTCGACCTCCTTCAAGCTGGCGGCCTACGGGCAACAGATGGGGGCCGTGGAGGGGGCAGAGATGTATTCCCGTGTTGAATAAATTAAGCATAATCTGAAATGAGACCTACGAAGGGCGCAAAACGAAATGTCTTGCGAACCTGGTAGCGCCAGCGGAACTGGAAGATCTGGACAAACGCAGATTGCAGAGTGCACTGAATAGATATGGCCAAGCTGCCCAACAGCCGCGGGAAAGAACGTTGATTAGGGGGGACCAACCGCCAAGTCGGCCACTGTAGCCCCAACTATGTTTAAAGAAAGAAGGTGAATAGCTGAATGTGTTAAAGTATCCTAGAGTTGTTCAGTAGCCTGTAGAGTTCATTAGACTGGGACTAGACTAGAAAGGCATCGGATGGAAAACGGGCATCGGGATAGGAAACGGGCATTGGCTAGAAATGGGATAGGATATATTCACAGAAGGAGCAGTGTTGTGACAGACAAAAGTTGTTCTCTCGAGTTGTCTTCTATCATTAGGAGATCCGCCAGGTCTCTTACAACGCCTTCCGACAAAGAGACCCAAGTCCGTATAATCCAACAAAAACTGCTGAATTTAACATCAAACCAACAACCCAAATCCGGGAAGTGCTTTAGACCCGAGCGAGGACAAGGATGGACAGACGCACTCGACAGACATACGAGAGGGCGCATAAACTCTTCACCTGGAAGCTGATGTGACAGGATTTAGGATTAATAGTCTTCGGCCTCGGAGGCGGACATCCCTTTATCAAATGTAGGCCGATGCCATAATTGTGCAGCCTGCGTTTGCAGCGAAAACGCTTTTCGGTAATCCGGTTGCCGGTCTGCCAAATTTAGAAACCAGCTTGCAACAGCTACAGCGACCTGTGAAATTATGCAGCTGGAGAATTAAAGCTTACCATGCACCTTCGAACTCGAAACTTGCGGGCCGTTTCACCTGCCAAGCATGAGCGCTCGACGGTGAGGTCCTCATGCGCAACTGCAAAAGTTGACTCCATTTCTATAACTTACCGGGTTGAAGCCCAGTATTTCTGTATAGAAACGATATGACGCCGGCAGGTCAGAGCAGACACGAGACACATGGTTCAATGCCAGCAGCTGCAGCGGCTCCCTTGACTCCATCTTCTCCAATTCTCCGTCCTGATGACTTCCTAGCATGTCACAGCTTGGAAATTTGGTTTGCACTGTTCAAGACCCCAGGTTTCGGAAATGACAATCTTACGGCCAATGGCCCAGCAACTACGTCTGGAGAATGTCGTAATGATACTTTTGAGCTGAAAGTCCCTCGCCTGATTCGTGCGATACAAAAATCTGACGCAAACACGTTTCGGAACCGAAACTTAAGTCATCAAATTCCTGCAAGATGTTATATTATACGTCGTTGCACTTATGAATTGTTCAATTTTGCTAAGTACAAACGCAAAGCGGAGGTTTAACTCTTTGGGAAGGGGTATGAGTCAGGTACAACATAGTACAACATGGTGACGAGGAGGTTTGGATCAGGCCCTTTGAACCTTTTGGGAAATATTAGCTAGTTGCACTGCCTTGTACAATGGAAATCGTCGCGTTAAGGATGCTGCTTGCAGGCGTTCTCCGGAAAACTTTGTTGCGGGGCAGTTGGTGCCCATAAAGCATGTCTTACGACGTATGGTCTTTGGCCTTGGAGCACTATGTCATCTGCTTTGCTGTTAAGCGATGTGACACGGCCGACTTCGGGCTCGGAAGAACACTTCGGGAACACTTCGGGAAGTTCGTTCCGAACGAAAATCGGCTCCCGACCAAGTAGCTTATGTAGCAGTCGACCCAACCTAAACTATAATTTGATTGGATTCTGCCCAAAGATTTATCTAAATGTCCGGAGCACAAGCGCGGTCAACATTTTTGTTACAGGCAAATGGCCTGCATGAAGAAACTGGCTCCTTGCCGAAACTAAAAAGTAGTTTTTTTTGTCTTGCCGGGTAGAGGCTCTGCCCGTGGTCGATTCAGCCCTTTACTGTATATACAAGCAGGTGCACGTGCTCGCGAGTCCCCCAACTGCTAGATACACAAGGAAATCCCGCGTAAGAAAGACAGTCGCTATTTTCAACGGCCCTTCAAGGGCGACCAGTTGAATCACCATCGAGTTGACCCTATCCACGGCCGTTACCGTGCCTACGACGTAACTACGGCAAACAACAGCGCCGGTTGTACCGACACCTCCAATAGTTTCCCTAGCAAAGACGACGTGGTGACTTTTCGCCCTTTCCCATCATCGCCCAATGATATGTAGGGTTTTAGTGTTTGGCAACTGTTGTTTCCTGTTTGGCATTGTCCCGGGAACGAATAAGGTCTTGACGTGCACAAGCCACAGAGGAGCGTGATGGGCTATATATGCCATCATAGCTCGGCTGCAGCGCCATGCCCCCATCTCTTTAACTGCCTTTACATGCATCTTTGCAAGGATGAACACCAAGAAGGGTCATCCACCTGGGAAACACCCGAAGCAACGACCAAAAACACCGGAAGCCATGACCGAGCCCTGAGCCGGCCGGACGCAATGAAGCAATCCGCGGCTCGACAGTCTCGCTTCTGGAAAAAACGGAAACGGCGACACACGCTGAGCTCAAGCCAGCACTTCCCCTCGCGCTTATAGCCTGAACCCCGCTGCAGCTTCGTTTTAAAGCCGCTCGCTGGTTCCATATTGCAAATGTCCCACACCCTAGGGGATGCCTACCCGAGAAATATATGGCGAGCAGAAAGTACCTGCCGCTGTAGATGCCTTCACCATCGATGCCGTCACTGCCGCCGGCAATGCCGTCACCGAAGCAGCAGTAGCAGCAGCAGCGGCGACGGCAGCCTGCGTGCGCTTCGTCGTATTGCCCTCCAGTCCCAACACGCACCGTCATGGCAGCAGCAGCGCCACCTACCGCAGCTATTGGCCGCAGTCAAAGTGCCATCCAGTGCTGTCAGCCTACTGCAAAGTCTGTCTATCTGTCTGTCTATCTGTCTTCTTCCTGTCAGCCATCTGTCTGTCAGTCAGCCAATCAGAAATCGACTCAGAGTGACGGCGGCTAACGGGGGATGTTGCACAGGCAGGATGTGCGGGTGGGCTCTCAGAACTGCGGTATGCTATCCCAGGAGAAGCCCGGCCAGCGCTTCCAAGCGCCGAACGCTAGGTAGGAGTGGTACGCGCCTGGGTTGGGAGGGCGGTGGGGAAGCATATCCAAGAAGCAAGCGGTCAAGCAAAGGGCGACGATGGAGGGGAAGAGAAGGGATTCGGGTGGAGGGCAGGATTTTAGCTTCACATGGGGGCGAGAGCGATCTGCAGATAGCCTGTTTTAGAGACGCACCTGGCACGAACGTCATAGCGCCAAGGACAGTGAAGCCGATTTCCTGTAGCGGCCCCGGTGACGCAGAACCATCGCGGGAACAGGCAGGGCTTAGGTTTTGCCGATTCCCCGGGAAGGGATGTTGAATGAGGGAGCGTGGCGAGAGGGGGTAGAGAGATGGGCTTTGACGCGCTGGAACCCACCGCTTGTTCTTTTCCAAGGACTTGCTGAGTGAAGTGAAGCCAGGCGGCGACGAAGGAGAATATTCCAAAGATCATTAGGAAAACAGCTAATGCGATTGAAGCTTTGGGTATTTCTGGCTCTGGCGGTGCGAAGCGACGGTCGTCGTCCTACAGGCGTAAGGCCCGTCAAGGGTGCAAAACGCCATCCAATCTCCTAGCGTCATGCGTTTTACCTTACTGTAGTCATCGTAGTCAGGTGGCAACCGTGTGTATCCTGCACGAGTACGCATGGTCTAGAGTGTCCCCCGAGTACAGTATGTATAGTTAGCGCTGCTAACGACCAGTCAGCCACTTAGTTAAGCAGATAAAATTTGCTGAGTGTGTAATTCCTAGCGACAACATGTAACCTGTACTAAACAAAGGGTTGTAGCCGGAGCCAATGCAAACGGAATGACCCATCTAGCATGGCATAAAGAAAAAATCGTAAAGTATATACATGGATACTGAAGCCAGGAATAGATAGGATTTCGTCTTTTTTCCGTTCTTTGGAGCCTGGTTGACCCTTGGATCACTGGTAGCTTTAATTGTTAATTTTTATTATTTGTCTCTCGCGTTGTGTACCAAAGCTGTATAAGGATTTGTAGAGCTTTGCTTCGGGGAACTACACACAGCTTCCCACGTTCCTAGCATGAGCTTCGTCGGCGGAGTGGGGCCAGCCACTTTAGCAGGCTCAGCAAGCAGCGGCAATGGTGACATAAAGCTTTATACGAACAAGAAAGAGCAAGCGCTTTACGAAAGTTATGCCGGTAAGTGCTTCATGGGCAGCCTTCTTGCTTCATCGAGGCCAACCTGCATGGTGCATGCGGTAATCGTAGATCTGTATGCTATTATAAAAACAACTGAGAAGCTGGAGAGGGCATTTGTCCGGGATGCCATCGACGCTGGGCGGTACGAGGAGGCCTGCGGAAAGCTCATAGGCCAGTTCAAAGTGCTGTGGGCGTCTATGAAGGATACGGTACGGCATGCGCACGGGGGCAAGGGAAGGGGATTTCGCCCAGGCTTCTGACGAGCCATCATCCTACCATCAGCCTATTTGCCTGAACTGATTTCCCCCTCCCTGGGCCGGGACTGGGACCGTATCAGGTCCCTAATGTGGAGTCGTTCATGTCGGACTACAACATGCAGTGCCCCATGGCCGCCACCCGGCTGCTGCACTCGGGGATACCCGCCACCGTGGAGCACAGAACTAAGCCCAGGTGAGCAGGAGGACTGGGAGGAGGAGGAGGAGGAGGGGGAAGGGGAGGAGGAGGAGGAGGGGGAAGGGGAGGAGGAGGAGGAGGGGGAAGGGGAGGAGGAGGAGGAGATAGAGGAGGAGAAGGGGGAGAAGGGGGAGGAGGAGGAGATAGAGGAGGAGGGGGAGGAGGAGGGGGAAGAGGAGGAGGAAGGGGAGGAGGAAGGGGAGGAGGGGGGGGGGGAGAGGAGGAGGAAGGGGAGGACGAAGGGGAGGAGGGGGGGGGGGAGAGGAGGAGGAAGGGGAGGAGGAAGGGGAGGAGGGGGGGGGGAAGGTGGGTCTAATGTACCCC